GCCCTATATTACCTCAAGGGCAATATTTTTCGAAAGTGTTTTTTTGAGACTTTAAACGATTCTTAGACGCTATCCCACTCAGAATTTAACGCTGATTCCGAATATGTGTGTCTTAGGTCGTAGTTTTCTGGGCCGAAAACATGCCTTAATGCCACTCGTCCTTTATTATTTATTTGCTAAATTTATGTTTTATTTGGAAACGACAAGAAAATGAACGTGAATTAACAAAATTAATTGAAATAATAAATCAAGATAAAAATACAACAATAAAAAATGAATTAAATAAATTGAAATTATTTATAATCAATTTTTGGATCATAAATTTTGGAAATAAAAACATGTATATTCAATTTTAGATAAAAATGAATTGTATAAATTAACAAAAAATCATGGAATAATTGAAGAAATTTGGAATGAATTAATTGAAAATAATAACATTGATGAGTCAGGTAAAAATTCTTCTAATTTTTTTCTAGGAAAACTCAACAGTAGAACAGAATTAAATCAACTATTTTCTTTAGTTTTTATCAGGTTTTTGAATGTGATGCTGCTCAAACAGAACGGATGAAAAATGATGAAGTTATAGCGAAAATAGTAAAGAGGATGCTTTTTCAAGATTCTCGGACACCGATCATTTTGTAAATACTATAACTCGGTCAAATTAAGTCCAAAGAGACCAAAAATTTTTGCATAACTCCGCTTTTGATCGTAGAATCCAAAAACATTAAAAAATATATATGATAATATCGACCATTCCATCCACTAGAATTTTCGATGAGTCTCTCTTAATAAATCGATTGTCAATATAGCAAACATGTTGGACATTTGTTGAATTTTTATTGTGTGTAACACATACATTTAATAAAAGTTCAGTATCATCGATATTTTCTTTTAAACAATTAATAATATTTTCTTTAAATTGTATCAAAATAAAATCACAATCTGTTTTCAAAAGTAAACCTTTGTTTTCCGTTAACTTTTTAAAACATTTTGGTTCCGGATATAATTTCAATACATACTTGAATTGTTTGATATATTGTCAATTAATTTTTCCATATCCTTTTTTTCTTTTATTTCATTCAATATTGATGGTAATTGTCCATCGTTCCATGATTGAAGACAATATTTCACATATTTATGATTAATATAATTTTCATCGACACTATTCAATGAATTTGCATTTAATTTCGAATATTCTTTAAATATCCTTTATTGTCATGATCGTTTCATATTCTAAAACATGAAAAAAATAAAATTACATATATAAGATAATAAGAGAAATAATTTTTTCAATAAAAATACAGTCCTCATTAATTTTCATTTACAATCACTGATGAGTCCGAAATGCATTAATTTATAAATATTTATAACCTCCAACTTTCAACGGTCGATTTTCAAAGCGAAAAAAGCATTTAGTATTTAGATAAGAACAAAAACAAAAGAAGCAAAATGGATATTTTTCTGTTATTCGTCTTCAAGGGAAAAGCATTTTTGTGGGTTTTTTCCTTTTCTATGACCGCCACATGCATTAGAACTATAGCAAATAAGGAGATATCTCTTCTCGCACATGCACGATATGCGATCATATATGTGGCAAATGTCTCTTTTCTGTTCTCTTTGTTCCTTTGACGTCACTTACTGATCGACTTTCTTGTCTTATTCCTGGCAAGATTCAGATTCTCTGTTTCTTTTTTATTTTGTTGTCTTATTAGGCTACATGAAGATTTGACGTATGTGTTATCCTTTTCTTTTTTTCAGCTTTCTACCACATTAATCTGTGTACATCACACATACGTTCTATCAACTAGGCATGCACCAGTTTTTAACTGGTGTTGGGGCATCCGGGAGAATTGCTACAAATCAATTATCACAATTCTCTCAGAGCTGTAAAACATCTAATTTTGTAGAAAAATGTTTGCTCTACAAAATGTTAAAAGAATTCCAGAATCATTTCTAAGAAAACTCGAAGTATTCAAAAAATACATTAAATCACGGAAAAAAACCTGTCCGAACAGTTTTTTTTTCGTAATTTAGTACATTTTAGAATGCTCTAAGTTTTCTTAGAAATGATTCTGGAATTCTTTTAACAAATGCATTTTGTAGAGCAAACATTTTTCTACAAAATTAGATGTTTTACAGCTCTGAGAGAATCGTGATAACTGATTTATAGCAATTCTCCCGGATGCCCTAACACCAGTTAAAAACTGGTGCATGCCTACTATCAACATTGCTTTTTGGTATATACAAAAAGAAAGAAAAGGCACATACGTCATATCTATATGTAGCCTAATAAGACAACAAAACAGAAAAGAAAAAAGAAAAGAAAGACAGTAAATGTAAAATGTAAACTTTTTGACCAAAGTTGTACCATTTACATTTGTTGCTACAGGCCTAAGATTTTTCAATTTTTTTCATTTTTATAAAAAAAATTATAAAGAAATTATGAGAAGAACAGTCAGTCGACCGGTGTTGTTATATTCTCTGAAATTTCTGAACACATTTATTTTGAACGCCGTAAGAGTTAAGTAAACAAACAGTCCTAAGTATAAAACAAATTCGCTCTAATGTTGGCTAGATATGCAGAACAAAGACTTACAGCATGCCAAACCCCATGATTATGACGAAAAACAGTATGAACAGAGTTAAAAATTTTCATCTCGCGTGTTAGATGCACAACAAGTATTCTTTTTGAGGATAAATGATAATTGAATAAATCTTTCGCTCCTTTAGAATAATTTCGAAGTTCATTTCATCTCGCCGGTGTGAGCAGATAGTCACCGTTTGGAAAACCCTTATCCGCGAGGATTTTCGTGTGTTGTGGAATGGCACAGTTTTGGTTAGGTCCAATTCCACATGTGGACATTATCTGACTATCATGAACAGAACCAAGAAAACCTGATTTAAAATAAATGAGACGACGATCTGTAGAAACAACGTAAATAGACGCGAGGCAATGATACTTGGATTTACCACTATAATAAAGCCGTTGATGTTTTTCTAGAGGGAGAAAAATCAAATTCACTCAGAGAAAGAATAGAAGAGAACTGAGCGCATGCTTACGAGGACGATTGATTGTGTCGCGTCCCATCAATGAAACCGACATAACGTCCTAAAATTGGATTAAAAACAACTAAACTGGTCCTTTCTTGAGGTGTAGGCCATATTATCATAGAGCGAACTGTTTTTGTTCAAATTGGTAGAGAAAAGCGTAAGTTGTATGATATTTTTGATAGAGAAACACGGAACATGAGGCTTAACAAACTGTTTCCGGCGTACTGTCGAAGCCCGATTAACAATAATAAAAGGATGTTCGCATCTAATGTACGTGAATGAATTCTTTGTTTAAATAACGCTAATTTTGAGATTGTACGTGTTAGAAAATCATGATATAAATGATGGAATGCTTCTCGTGTTATGCCCATAATCACAGAACCGTCGCGGTGTTGTGGCCAACCCTGCATATAAATCCACTAAATTTGCACGTTCATAATGATCGTAGGGCATTGTTAAATGATATATAGTCATATACCTCAATGATGGTGTAATTTGTGCTATTTGAAACACTTGTATTATCAAACTTGGCAAATCGCGCATATTTACTAGGTATAATGTTTTTATGAAATGGATTACAGTAAAAAAGACAAGAAAAGTAACGTTTGAAGCTAACTGAAAAAACTTTAATTGCTTTTGACGTCGTCTTTTAGTTTGGTCCATTACGGTAGAGAGTATAAGCTTAGAGAAATCAATTTAAAGAAGCAAAATAACTTTAATAACGTGTTTTTCTTACTACTTTATCCGTTTATTTCCTGTGGCTCGAATGAATCTCTCATATAGTACCCCATATTATTTTCCCACGAAGAAAAAAGGAAGAAACGTTGAACTACGAATGGTAAAAAAACATATCCCGACTAGACATTCTTTTCGCTCGACGGATAGAATGTTGAGAAATTTTAAATAAATATACTGACAGCATAAATTTACTTTCTAATTATTTTTGATTGCCTCTTAATCGTTGAACGCGCCCTCCATTCTTCAATCATGCAAAATACTGCCGGTAAGAAGCAGCATTCTTATCGAAAAGTTGAACAGTTAGAGCGTGAAATCATAGTCGGTTTGGTTGAACAATTTGGAAACTCAGCACCAGCTATAGCTAATTTCATCCGATCATCGGGACAAAAATATAGTGACATTGGATTTTATTATCAACAAATCGCTTATGGATCAGCACGAAAACGTGTTTATGATATATTAAAAGAGCTGCACAAAGGTAGATATCTACAAAAAGTTCTTTTCATTTTTCCTCCTTTTTTTCTACTTTTAGTGTCGCTGTTCAGCGCGCTCGTGATGATTTGTGGTTTACTCCACAATTAACAGATAAATTAGATTATATATCAACAAATGATGATATAGATGAGAAAGAAAAAGAAATTTTCTTTCTTTTTCACCAACAACAACCGTCAAATACACCCACATTATCTGGTAAACAACCTGACACGTCGACATCACCACTAACTGTTTTTATTGATCATTCACAATCAAATGACTTATTATTATATTCTTCTTCTTCACCGTTGAATTTACCATTTATACCCGATCAAAATGATTCAGCCGATGATTAACCACCCCACCACTCGATAATTCGGCAACTGATGCCATGGATTTTATCGTCTCAGAAATTACTTCGTCACCCGTTGATAATACTGAAGTCTCACCAGCTGTTATTGTTAGTTCACCACCGTATGATTTACATACACCTAATCCAGTCCCACTTCCAGTTGAGCCACCATTTGTTGCTGTACCTTCTCCTACGATGCCGTTACACCATTCACATCTATTTCATCTGATATTTTGAATCGATTACCAACACAATTACGCGACGGTAACTCATTGATGGCTCTCTTCACATCATTCGTTACCAATTTAGCTAATAATTCTGCTTCGTTACCCGTCACAACGGCACAAGTAATCGATAATTTGGTGCCATCGTCATCAACCACTCAACCATCAAAAGTTTTATCATCTTCTGCGTCTGATCATCGCACGTCCCAAGGTTCGTCATTTGATCTTTGGGACGATGATGATGAAAGTTTGTCTGTTCATCCACCCAAACGACCGTGTGTTCGAGTACATCAAACAACAACATCGGCACCAAATAGAGTAAAACCGACACCACCGTACTCAACTAAGCAATCAGCAAGATCAATAAAAGAAAGTTCAACAAATTCGCGAATTAGTTTCGGTCCAGCTCAAAGTCAAGATAACGATGATGATATTATTTTAACACGATCACATTCAAACGTCTCTACCACTACTGCTACGTCAACAACACCTATGTCTCGAAAAAGGACCAGTAATTCAGAATTCTACAAATATCCCGTTATTTTGCTCAGTATTTTTCAAATCAAATTCTTTATAAAATTCTGATTAGAGAAAGATGTAACACAAAAGAAAAGATATGCTTGGATACGACTCACGAATTCGTCTATCGTATCTCTTTTATGTCACATTAGAGCACTAGCAAATAAGGAGATATCTCTTTTCGCACATGCATATCTTTCTGGTCTCTTTCGTTTTAATCGACGCGCTGAGACAAAAAAATGTTCGCACACGAGATATCGTATGTGAAAAGAGATATCTCCTTATTTGCTAGTGCTGTATTTTTCTATTCTGTAGCTTAGCGTTGTGATTCTAATATGTAAGGATAAAACGGTGAATGAAAACAGTGCTGAACTGATCTTCCCACGTTCTTCTTTATACAGTGAAACTGAACGAGAAAAAACCTATGTGTCGTGCAAAGATATCACGTCAAATGTGAGGCGATGTCTGTATATGTTCTACCTTGTGCGAGAAGAGATATCTCCTTATTTGCTATAGTTCTATTATATAATATGTACTATTTAGTAGACAGACAAGAAAGAAAAGAATAAATAAAAAGAAATATTTTTGAGTTACGTTCTTGAAGAGAAAATAATTTCCATATGTTTTGCAATTCCAAAGTATAGCGGCTTGACCAAACGTCACGGAATGACACTTTTTCTTCTTTCAATCTAGTTTTCTTTGTAACGGTGACAGCTGGGAAGTTCAAACTTTCTGCACATATCGGGGTCATCAAGCTCTACAATATCCTAAAGTTTTACTTTACTTCGTGGTATGGATAATTTTTT